AAGTCAAGGTCTGGGGAACTTGCTCCTAAAATGACCCTTTAAAAAATAGCAAGTAATGCTATGAAGGAGTCCGTTCACTGCTGGAAATCACATTTTACTCGGTGTCAGCAATTCAGAAGAAACCCATCTGCAGGAAATTATGATGGCAATTTCCTCTTTGAGTGAAGAGGAATTACAGCTGTAATTCCTCTTCGCTGTAATCAAGGAGGCAGCGAACAGCCTCCTCTCCCCTTATTTAATACCAATTACTCTTAAAACTTGAAGCCGTACAGAGACGTCTCTATCCCATCCTGCTGCCTAGAGGCCATTGCTGCTGCACTCGCAGGCCGTCAGGAAAAACACACCCAGAGGTGAAAACCAGCTACTTTTGTGCTATTTTGTTGTCTCTAATGATGGATATGCACTTATTTTTATACCGTAAATTTTCAGTGTGAGAAGGATGTCCTGCAGCGTGCTTGTAGAGTGCCTGGCATATTTGGCTCTCATTTTGTTGAGATTTTAAATGTTAAATAAGGAAAATAGCATCAGAAGTTTGCAGTGTTGTTTCAGATGCTGGGCATGAGAGCCTCCTCTCCCAGAAGGGTGCGTGCTGAGGAAGGGCAGGCAAGAAGAAGTGATATCGTGCAGGGAGAGAACGGCTCAGCATTTGAGGACTAGGCAGCGTGTATTTTGAAGGAAACCTTTTCTGTAAGAAACACTTGGAGCAAAACTCAGGCCAATTGCAAAAGGCTGCAGGTCTACAACTCTCAATGTGTTCGCAACGCTTTTAGGACCAAAACTGGTCTTGCCCATTGAAGGCTGGTGTGGTTCGTGCACATATGAAGATAACCATTCATCGGAGGAAAGAAATAAAAACCTGGGTAGAGAATGTGCTCATGGGAGGCCATTCCCAAGCAAAGGCTTGGGAAGGTGACGCCATGAGGCCAAGGTATCACTCCAGGTCCACGGGACGACATGTCGGCAAAGACGGGCCTAGCGTGTGTCTGAATTCAGAACCTCTTCTGTAAGGTTTTGCTGTCGGACTGCTGGCTGAGAAGATCTTTCCCCGTCACCAGCTGCCTTAGCAGTTGTCAGCATCTTCCTGCTCCTCCCAGCGCTGCTGCTGGAGCTGACGGGAGTTTGATTATGATTTAATCCAGGCTTTTAGAGGAGGGGAAAAAGAAAGTTTTGACAGTTCCATATATAGTCCTCTGACTCACAGATTTCATGTGTCAAACACCGAAGACGGGTTAAGTAGAATTAAGTTCTGGATTTGTTATAAATAGGCATTAAGTAACATGAATGTATTACATTTGCATGAAAATATGGGTCTGATTCTCTAGCTTACCCCAGAGATTTTCTTTGACGTCAATGGGACGCTCCCAGGTAGGTGAGCTCAGCTCAGAGCCAGCCCAGCTCTGATCGTCCCCTGCAGCCACCATTTAACTGGACCCAGTGAAATGGGGAAATCATCACTGAAATCGGGAAGGATTTACGCTGCTTGCACAGATCAGAATTTGGCCCTTAACATAGTACAAGTAGTTTTAATTAGACCCCAAATCTGCAGCTGAAGGAATAATTTCTCCATGTCAATCAGTGCTAAATGTACCTATTAAATCAGGAAAGATGGGTTAAGAAGAAAATTGCATAGAAAGTCACTTTTCTTCTGTTTCTCCCAGAAGATGGAGATTCGTTGGATTCAGATGTTACAGACGATCTCATCCTGCTCCGATTACCATTCTGCCCAGCCACAGCTTAAAGGTCCGTCCAGACAATGAAGTCACCCTCACTCAGAGCAAGTCTGACAGTTGAGCATTGTTTGGGTGAAAACAGCCCCCTTTAGTAAAATAAATGCTTCTGCAATGAGTGTGACAGACACAGACGCTACCAAATCAGATCCCTCCTCAATAATTTAATTTACTGACTTGTTTGTTGCTAAACAATTGAGTATTGGTCCATGGAGAAGGAAAACAAAAAGGACAGACAATATAGGCTGTATTTTGAGGTTGGACTAGTCCAAGGCAAGGGAAACCAGGCTTTTGGGCCACCCAGCGGCATTGTTTCCGGAAAAATAATGTCCACCCCTGCAGCTCTACCTTTATTCTGAACTGGAGGTTTGGCCCTATTTCTGCTGAGGGTGAAGAGAAGCGAACCGGAGAGAAGGGATCTGCAGTGTGACACAGCCAGGGCCACCGAGACAGTGACAACCTCATGCCTGGAAAGGTTGTCATTATTATCCCATGGAGCTGTCAATCTTGCAGGAACAGCATGAAAAGCTCCGGGAGCTTCCCCTGGCCCCGGCGGGACCCTCAGGCTCTGGTGCCTTCCCAGCATCGCTCTGCCCTTGGTTGCGATTTTTCTTATCTAACGCCACATTCTGCTTTCTGCCATGAAAATCATTTCCAATTAAATGCATCCTCAGAGCCTATCTGGCTGTGAATTAGCCTGGAACTCGATGGCTGGCTTGTTGCTCATCAAAGTCTCCAGGAAAACGGGGAGGCACAGCCTCAAGAGTGATGCGCTGGTTGGGGATTTTGCTCATCGCCTTGAACTCGCCGCAGCCCTGCAGACGGGGACGTGGATGCCCTTTGCTCACCCTCAGCGCTTCTCTGTTCCCCTTCATGCCAGAGCTGAGTAAGCAACACCAGGGCAACAAAACTCAGCCCTGCTGCAGCCTCCAGCGCTGTCTCGTGCTCCCCTCCAGGGATCTCAGGGTTTGCTGAGTCCCTGGGAAGGAGCCGGCCACACGCTCCAGCTCACGGGGAAGGGATTATCACGGCTCTTGTGACGCAGCTCCCATGAGCTTCCCTGCATGGAAAGGAGAGAAGCAGGCGTGAATCCTCAATTTGTCTCCTATATTGTCTAAACAGTCTCTCTCCCCAGGGACCTTCCCTGGGTTGGCAGTGCCAACCGTTGCTACTCTCCTGACGGCGGACACCTCGAGGGTGTCTGGATGCCGAGGGCAATGGCAGTGATGTGGTGATTGCTGCCTCTCCACGAGCAAAACAGATAGAAACCAGGTAGGAAGCCCAGGGAGCTGGCTGCGGGGCCGGCAAGGAAGGGGAGGGAATGACAGCTCTGTGGCCCTGAAGCTCTGCTGGGGACGGCGAAGCCCTGGTGCTGCTTTCTGCTCGGAGCGAAAGGCTTCAAAGTCCCAGGTTATGGGACAATTCAAACACTGCAAAGGGAAGCAAGAACCGTAAAATGAGGGTTTCTGCTTGCTGTGGACACGCAGCCGGGGAGACATCGTAGCACATGCTTCAGGGCTGGTTTTGGGGCATGGAAATACCTTTGGTCCACGTAGCGTGGGCTCCCAGCACTGCCGTGGGGCGGGTGGGGGTGCCCTGGCCATCCCCTCGCTCCATCCTCCTTGGTGACGGTCCCCGTGGAGAACCAGTCCACGCTCCGTTGTGATGACACTGTCGTGGCAATCAGACCAGTGCCTGTTCCACAGAGCCTGGGGCAGTGCAGGGCGCAGGACGGGACCGGGAGCGGCTCCCTGCTGGGCTCTCGTCTCTCCTCCGCTTCCCGCTGGAAAGAGGGGCTGTTCCTCAGGAATAGCCGACTGCCGCCGCGGTCCCGTCCCCTGGCTGGAGAGGAACCCTGCGGTGGGGTGAGCAGCGTCGGGGGGGACAGGGGAGTCCGTGAGGCTGCAGCGGGGCTGGGGAGGACCAGCTTTGGGGGTGAGGGCTGCGGGGTCAGTCCCAGTGCCCTGCAGCGGGACGGGGGCTGAATCCAGGCGATATCCCCCACTCGCGCTCCCCGGGGGCTCTGCCCACTGGCACGGGGGGGCCTGGCCTCGCTGGGATTTCTATGGAAACCCAGGTACCGAACAGGGTGGAATAGCTCAAACCATCTGTTCTTCCCCTACTTATAAACTCGATAAGAGGAGCGTGTTTCGCGATGACATCACTACAAATGCTCTCCTTTTATTCATCGCACAGCCATCTGTGATGGTTTCCTCATGTGCCAAACACGCGAGCGGGTGCTGAGGGAGGGCAAGGGGACACAACCACCCCCTTATCCGGGTTTCGTTTCTCCCCTTGGAAAGCAGGCCTGGCCCCGCAGAGGCTTCCTTGTCCGCATTCCCGAGGCGTCTGCAGAGCAACCGGCGGAGTTAGCTGGAAGAAATGAGGGGCTCAAAGGTAAAAACTGAAGCACAATCCAAAGCTGAACTTCTCCACAGGCGCTAGGGAGGATCTGCCGTGGGGATCTCACCTGCAGAAATAAATGCCGCAGTGCGGTGAGCGGGACAAGCAGAGGGGAGCCAGGCTTTCTTCTACCAGCAAGGTGTTGGGTTGTGGTGGGGCTGATTCTGCCTGCCCTCCTGTGCCAGGGCTGAGGCCGTGGCCTGAGATTTGGGTGTTGGGGGAGGCAGGATTGGGGAATATGGGTCAGCTGAGGACACAGGTAGGGGTGGATTTAACTGCCACAGCTTCAGTGCTTACCTGTTAGGCAGTTTCTCAGCTAGAAGTCACCTTCCCACAGCCAGGGATGTGAGCGCTCCTGCTCCGCTCCTGGGCAAAGTCAGCTGGGTTCATTCATGTCCCCAGCTTGGGTGGGTTTGGTTCTGACTCACGCGGTCCTCGCAGTCATGCTGGGTGATAAAAGAGGTGACAACCTGCTGTCACCTGTCTTCCCCACTGCTGGAGGTCTGCACCCTGTCCTGGAATCGAGGTGCTGGCTGCGGCTCAGCCGCCGTGGTCAACAGGCGCTGATTTTGGTTGCTGTTAACATCTCCTTGCCCTGGGGAGTGGTGGTAGCATGGGGGTGGGTTACCCAAGAGCAAAGCACCCGGTGGACTTGGCTCTGAAGTGGATCAGAAGTGCTCATGGAGTTGGTTTGTGTGGCTCAGTGTTTCGGATGGTAATGAATATCTTAGGTGGCAGGGAAGAGCTGAAGGTGGTGACAAACAGCTGGAGGCGGTGATGCCATTAACCCGCTCCCCTGTGTCCAGCTCCACCGTCGACCACTGCTGGTGGTGTTTGCTCAAGTGACCAAACTCTCCCTCTCTGTGGCAGCGGAGAGGGCCCTCTTTGAGGCAGAAGCTTTCGGACTTCCCTGAGAAGGAGAAAGAAAAGCTGGCTGAAGCTGAGATCAGGAGACTGCAGAAACAGTTTCGGATAGCAGCAGGGAAGAGGAAATCTTATGGTGCCAACGTGAGGCAGAAAATGCAAGCTCAGGAGTGAGTGCAACTTTGCTTGGCTGCATTGTGCTTGGAAAGTTCTTCCATGCCGAGATCTGGGGACCCCGGTGCTGAGATGGGGAGGGGTAAGGACCTGCTCCGGCGTTGCAGGTGGGATGTGCTACATGCCATTTGTTGTTCTATTTTTACAGAAAAGAAATAGAGTCGCTGACCCAAGAACACAGAGAGGTGTCGTTAACGCTGAGCCAGATCGCGTCCCTGAGAAATGCAGCGCTGGATGACAGAAATTGTATGGAGCTCCAATGCCTTTTGCAGACCAAATATCAGTACGATTCTCTGATTAGAGATAGAAAAGCCCTGTTAGCTGACCTGGACAACCAGGTAAGAGCATCTGGACCATTCCCTGGCTGAGCATGGTGGAGCAGAGCAGAGTCACAGAGTGAGCCCTATGGCTGAAACTCCTAGATGTAAAATGCATTTAATTCAGGCCTCGGAATATAATGCTGCCTCCTGGCAAAAGACACATGACAATGACAAATGGATAGAGCCAGGCTCCCATTCAAGTCAGCAACACTGGCTAGAAAAGTAAGGTCTGACTCTCAACCTTGTTGTCCCACCAGTCTCTGCAGCTCCTCTTTGATGGCACACGCCTGCCTGGCGTCACGCAACATCCCTCTGCTTTTCCCTTGACTTTTTTTCTGTCCTGAAAAAGAGGCAAAAATGGAATATTTAGTTGTGCTGCCCAAGACATGGCAAATAGAGGAGTAGCAACATCTGAGGGATGTCCCGTCACTTCTCCTGAGGACAGCCTGGTTGGATTTGGTCAACGGTGGGGTGGGAGGTCAAGGGAAACGCAGTGCAGCGACAGGTCCCTGCAGCTCTCTGCTCTGAACAAGCCGCCCGTGACAGAAGTCAGGGAACACGCTCGGGTAGTTTACAGTTGCTAGAGGTGCTGCAGAGCTTTCCACAACGGGGTTAGATTTCAGTCAGGGATCTCTTGGCTGAGTCATACCTCTCCCACCTGCCCCCCACTTCGTTGTTCTCCAACTACTTCGTTCTTCTCATGGATTTATCTCCTCTGGCAGCTCCCCACTTCTGGCAAAAGTTTTCCTCCACTCATTCCCAGGGAGGACTGCACAGATCCCTGTCTGGCCAGCACAATGCCACTACTAAAAAACCATCCTTGTTGCCTCTTCCATTCTACACAGAGTGCTGCTGTGCCTTGTTCAACACCTGCTGAATTTCCCTCCAGAGGCAGCTGCATTTTCTTCGTGACACGAAAGTAAACCCATTCCTAGTTACAGTTTATGTTTCTGCGTGTGCAGGATGGGATCCTTTGGGATTAAAGCTGCTTCTATAACTGTGAGCTCATTAATGACATGGTTGCTGTAGTTCAGGTCAACAAAGGGTGTTTTCTTTGGCTAAGTGTCCTGACAAAGGTCCAGAACGTGGGGGTGGAGATTATACTTTCTTTTTTTCTTTTTTCTCTGTGTGTGCAGATACTAGAGCTGGAAAAAAAGGTGGTGAGGCAAAACCAGAGAGCAGCGAAGGTGAAGCAAGCGAACAATAGCAAATGGCTGCAAAAGCAGATTGAGACACTGGAGACGCGTCTAAACAAGGTAAGGAAATATTTTGCAGACCTTTGGAGACCATGTGCGGGGCCACACTGGGGCCTGTGTGCAAAACGCTTTTTGGTCAGGACAAAGGGTAATGGTGTGAATGCATTTGGTTGACACAAGCTGCATAAAGGACCTGGCCTTGTTCCCCTGGCCTGATTGCTCCCAGAATATCTCAAAGGCTCCTTCAAGCTTGGTGACCCAAATGCAGCGCTTGTGCCATGCCAAGAAGCCTGAAGGTCTGCACCTGCTTAGTGATAAAACCGAGCTGCCTGAAGCCACCTTGCCTTGGACAACGCCAGCTCCAGGTGTCTGCCGTGATCGGCCTGGCCTCCGGTTGCCTCCCCTGTCTTGGGGAGGCGGATAGTGCAGCGCCAACTTAAAATCTCTTGGGCTGTGTTTGTCCCAGCCCTGGTCAAGGTCTTTCAGCAGACACCTGAGCCCCCAGCCCTGCACCAGCTTAAAACCTTTTGCTTCCCTCTCCCCAGGTCACTGTGCATTTCGATACCATCGTGACCAGAAATAACAAGCTCCGAGAAGAGATTGAAAGCCTGCGAATCCAGAAAGCCGTTTTGGACAACTTCTACTTGAAGCTCCATAAGAAGCTGGATCAGCAGAGGAGAAGGATGAACACTGCCGTTGAGCAATCCACACAAGCCTACGAGCAGCGGTACGTGGCCTTGCGAACCCTCTGTGGCAAACTCGGCACCGACGGGCCATGCCAGTGATGAGTATCGATGTAAAGAGAGACCGATTGCAACTTCGGAGAGAGGGTTGACCGCTCTTGTCTAGAGCTGGGTGCTAAGGGTTGGGTGCCTGGTCAGTGCAAGGAGACTGGTACCTCCAGGGTGATTTACTCCACCTATCCCGGACGTTTCTTGGGATGGGGTGAATTACCCCATGGAGCAATCTCTTTCCCCTGAGTCCCACCTGAGCCCGCATGGTGCGTGCAGCAGACCTGGAGCAGAGGCCAGCCAGCTCCGGTCAAAGTGAGCCTGGCTGCTCCAGTTGGGTGCTATGTCCGAGTACAAAACCCCACCAAGAGCTATGTTAGCTTGCTGCTGGCCTGGGGCTAACACGGCTGCATCTGGATGAGAGCCGGGCAACGTGCGCAGCATTGTGGGGGCTTTGCTAGGTCAGGCACAGAGATGCACGGGAACGGCCAGGCATACAAATCCTTATACCTACGCATGGTGTAACCTGCTGCTCTCTGTGTGCAGGATGGAGGCTCTGGCAAGGATTTCAGCCATGAAAGAAAGGCACAGCAAAGACACTGTCCAGTACCATGTCGAGCTGCAGGAGCAGGAGCGTGTCCTTGACCAGGAGACCAAACTGAAAGCCTTCACGCTTGCCAAATTTACAGATCGCTCTGAATTGGAGGAACAGGCCAAAAAGAAAAAAGGTATCAGATGAGAGAAACCACGTGCAACTGGGACCGCAAACCAGGAGTCTGCAGGGTTGGCAAGGGAGCTGCTTATAGCATTGCACCCCAAAGGCAGGACCTCTCCCCTGCCCGCAGGCTCCTTCACCCACCCTTTGCCCTACAGAAGAAAAGGATGAACAGCGATAACCAAGTGAGGCCACCCAAAACCATGTGTCTTGGGGGAGAGGGAGGATGGGGAGGCAGGGAGCTGCCTCCATGTACAACCATGGCTCCTTTTATCCTCCTGGGGAGGGATCCCACTGTTTGCCCCATTCCCATGCACACTCTGAGCTTCTTGCTTAATTCCTGAGTGAAATAGAATCATAGAATCATTAAGGTTAGAAAAGACCTCTAAGATCATCAAGTCCAACCGTCAACCCAACACCCCCATGCCCACTAAACCATGTCCCTAAGTGCCTCATCTACACGTCTTTTAAATACGTCCAGGGATGGTGACTCCACCACTTCCCTGGGCAGCCTGTTCCAAGGTCTGACCACTCTTTCAGTAAAGAAGTTTTTCCTAATGTCCAGTCTAATCCTCCCTTGGCGCAACTTGAGGCCATTTCCTCTCGTCCTATCACTTGTTACTTGGGAGAAGAGACCGACCCCCACCTCGCTACAACCTCCTTTCAGGTAGTTGTAGAGCGCGATGAGGTCTCCCCTCAGCCTCCTCTTCTCCAGGCTAAACAGCCCCAGTTCCCTCAGCCGCTCCTCATAAGACTTGTTCTCTAGACCCTTCACCAGCTTCGTTGCCCTTCTCTGGACATGCTCCAGCACCTCAATAAAGACACCTTCTGTCCCCCCTGACCCGAGCACCCCACCAAACCCAACAGCACCCACAGGGGAAGGCTTTGCAAAGGGCAGCCCCTGGGGACACGCACAGCCCAGGCTCTCCGTCTCTCCCTCAGCCTTGAAGGCAGCCCAGCGGGCCAAGCGGAGACAAGGGGAGAGCTTTGAGAGCCGGGAGGTGGCTTACAAGCGTCTGCTGGAGCTGGCGGAGGACGGGGACATCGACCGGCTGCTGAATAGCTTCATCGAAAAGGAGGGGAAGAACTTCCCCTGCTTCAGCTACATCACCGAGCTGAACAACGAGATGGAGAAGATGCAGTGGAGGATCAAGGACCTCCAGGTCTGTTCCAGGCTCTTCATGTCTCCCCTTTCTCAGCTGGTGCCTTTGGGCTGGGGTGGGTTTTTCCTCTCCCATGTGTCCAGCATCACTGCCCACACCAGAGCCCAGCTCACAGCCTGCCACACGGGTGGGATTAGGGGAATGCAAAGGGGTAGCCAAAAATATAACTTCAATAGACAGAACGCTGCCTTCTCAGAGCTAAAAGTGTCTCAATGCTGCCACCGTGTACCCAGCAAAAATATTGCAGTACCCAGGAGGGCCAGGAGCTGCCTCAGCCTTTTGTGGGGCTGGCTGCAGTGAGGAGTGCTGCCTGTTGTGGGGTCATCCACTGCCCTCCTGGCCTGGCGACAGTAGTCCCCAGAGGGGTCAAATGGGGAATCCCTGCTCCCCGGGTGGAGGGATGGTCCCCAGCCTCTGTTAGGCACCTCTGGGGGGCATTCAGCCAGTACCCGCTCCCATATGCTTGTTGTTTACGCAGAACAAAATTACGGCCCTCGTGACGGACCAGGAGTATGCAGAGAGCAGCAGCCTTCATGTCCTGCAGGAGCTGGAGGTATGGCAGCCCGGATTTCCCTCTGCAAGGGCAGCAGACCCCTGACCATCCTGGCACGTGTCCTAGGAGCCAGGTCCTGCCAATGCCGCTCTGGCCAACGGCTGGAGGCGTGGGCAGAAAAGGGCCCTGTATCGGCTTTGGCAGCCCTGTCTCCCGATGCATGGTGAGAGGGTGTCTGCAGGGCTCCTGCCAGCCCTGGTCTTCCAGCACCTGGAGCCTCGTCTGTGGCATGGAGAACTTTGGATCCCATTCATAGAACCTTTCCGCTGCAGGGATGGGAGCATCCCACAGCCTCTTCTGGGATGTCTCCAGCATCCAGACTGGAACTGACCAGCACTGGGGTGGAGGAGAGAGCAGGGGGGCTGGTATGACACCTGGCAAAACCTTTGCTGATAGGAAAAACTAATGGAAACCACTGAGGAAGCCAACCGGTATGAAGAGAGATGCAAAGAGACCAGCAAAGTCCTGGGGCAGCTCAAATCTGGCATGGAGGCCCTGTTCAAAGAAATCAACTGCGACGCTACGAAGATAATGAAGCAGCTTGGAGAAAACGGGCAGATCACGGATCTGAACCTGATGCAGTTTTTCGGTGGGTCAGGGCTGCCCGTTATCCCCCGCCACACGGCCCAGACCTTGTATGTCCACCACCCGCTTGCACTGTGTTTTCATTGAGTGGTTTTTTTTTTTCCCCCTGTCCCATCATGCACGGGTGTCCCTAATGTGAATTTGGGGTGCCAAATTCCCAGCAAATTCGGGAGCTAACCTGGCTGGATAAACATCCCAGTGGACCCCCAAGCCCTCATCTGGGGTGTGGGACCCAGCCTTGGGCCCTTGCCCCTGGGGAGACGGCACTGCCTCGGGGAAATCAATGGATGCCCTGCTGAGCAAACAGCCGGGGGAGGATTTGGGCAGGGGCCGGGTGCAGGGGCCCTGCGGGACAGCGCTCCCTCCCACCCAGGTCTTGTGGAGAAGAAGACCAACGAGCTCCTCCTGATGGAGTCCATCCTGCGCTACACATCGGCTGAGGGCTCGCATCCGGCCCAGCCCTTCGCCAACCCGCTGCTGCACGGCACCGGCCTCCTCCGGGTGATGGATCGGGGCCAGCTCTGCCCGCCGCCCCCCACCCTGGACGGCACTGCCGACGCCATCGATGCCTGTGAGTGTGTGAGGCGGGAGGGAGGGGCTGTGGCCACACAGCCAGCCAATCCACAATTCCCCCATGGACGCCTGTGCCCTCCAAAACAAGTCCAAATCAGCCTGTCCCGCCCCACCGGGTATATAAGGCCTGTGATGGCATGCGCGACGGGGCGGCCATTTTCTTGGGCAGTGGAGGTGCCGCTGGACCACGGCCAGCTGCGCCAGCTGGTTCTCCAGAGCCAGGAGAAGGAGCGGGACAACGCCACCGGCACGAGCAAGAAGGGGAGGAATGACATCAAGGTGTGAGAGCCCGGCGGGAATGAGTTAAATAAACAGTTTCAGTCTTGAGCTCCTCCTCTGCTTTTTCGTCCTGGCTGTCGTTCCAGCTCCCTTCCCCTCTGGAAGGAGCCCAACGCCTTCTGCAGGCTTTAAAAGCTCGCCGGGTGATATTTCGGCATGGCTTCGCCCACTGTTGACAGCAGCCGCG